TTTTTTTACCTTGTGGCTTTCTGAAATGGGTGCGTCCGATTGCCTTGTTCTATATTTATAAATCAATATCTCCGGAGAGAGTAATTCACGTGTTTTTTGTTGTTTTTTTTCTATTTTAATTTTTCTAGTGTTTCGTATATAAGTTCAATGGTTTGTTTGTGATAATTAAAGCTGGTATATTTATACGAAGCATGGTGGTATGTGTACGATCCTGGTCATATATATATATATATATATATTTGTATATGTACGTAAGTGCGTTTTCATATTGTATTTTTAATAAATCAGGTTTTTTGGTATTTTATTATTTGTTGTCATTATGCTATTTTAAGGGTTTTTATCTTGGGTGGGTCCTATTGATTATTCGGTAAAATATAGACCTGTTCACTGTACAAAAAGGAAAGTATTTATTTCCTATTAAAAGTTTAACAACTTGTATCGTTTCACGAACTAACAGTGACCAAATGATAGGCCTAACTCACAAATACAACTAAATTCTCGTATGTACGACACAAAATAAAAAAGTTTACAGGACTAAACTTAGAAAATAACTTATTGTTTAACTGGCTGAGTCACTAACTGACTGATGTTTTTATACTATTTTTTTAATTTTCTAGAATATTCGAAACACCACGTCAAATCCATACACTCAGGAAATTTCTAGGCATCTTACATCGTTAATATATCATGCCAAAATTCCCTCTACTAAACAGTACAAAATATCTAAATTCAAATATTAAAAACATAGCTTTACAACATTTAAACACAAATAACATAATAGTATATTAAACTTAAACTTACGTAATTAGTAATAAAGTCACTATTTACAATTAACAAAAATTACTATTCATAAATAAACATTACAACAATTAAAGTATTAATTAAAAGTGGGACAGCAATATGTCTAAGGACTTAAAACGTGGTGGACACAGCAGATAGCCCAAAGTGGTTTTGCTATAAAATACACTTCTTTTCAGATAAAATTCGTTGATGTTACAGACTTACTTGAGCCCCCACTCCTTCTGATACCTTAGACACCCTGGCCGAAGACCCTCTCTTAATGATTTAACAGAAATTTGCAATAAAACAAACAAGAAATAACTAAAATCACTGAATACTCAATAACTTCGCTAACTGTTTTTTTTTTAATATAAATAATGTACTATTGTCTTTGGATATTACATGAAGCTTCTCATTGTAGAATCACCATAATCAGCAGCTCCTTCTAGCAAACATGTAAATTATAATATTGAAAATATAGCTTAGAATAACAATAATGTTTATACTTGTTGACATTGACATTGGCATTCACGTAAAGTATTTTCATTAAATGTTACTCAGGATATCTTGTGGTATTTAAATGATAAATATAACACACCAGTTAAACCACAATTATTTGTTTTTGTAATAATAAATAATTGTAGCCTAAATTGTATATCACTTTTATTAATGAAAATTATATTGTTTATTTACAGTCAGCTTAGCCCCCCACCCATAGCATTGGCCTTAATTTAACCTAAATAACTACTCATAGATTACAAACTACCTCCTCATTGTAAACTGTTCAGATGCAGAACCATTAACATTTAAAGAAATATTCCAACAACAGAGCAAACTGGTGGAGATTAAAGCATGATTTCTACTTTAAATATAATACCATTTTTGGATTAAATCACAGTTTCTAGATAGCACCTGAATCCTATAAATTTAATTCTGAATAAGGCCAAAATGATAAATATCTCCCTCTTTTGATCGAGTTGGACTGGTATAAAGCTGTTGCAATGGCATGGTCCATGAGAAAAAGTCAAATTTATATATTCATGACACATGAAAATTTTAACAAAAATATTCTGTATCACATGGTTGGCCTCAATAAACATTGATGTTAGTATGGTTAGAAAGACCAGTGAAATTTATTACAATTATATTATCCCAAACTTTGGATAATTAAAGTGAGTAGCTAAAGTTTTTTGGCAAAAATTTTAATTGAAATGCTACATGATCTGTATGACATTAATAGCTACAATAAGATACTTAAAAAGTTTACAAAACAAATACTTCACTGTATTTAATTACTTAGATTATGCAAAAGTATAAACATGAAACTTCTGAGTTTAATCTAGTAAACTTGACATACTAAAGTAGAGTTAATGCTCTAGATCTCTCACTCACTTTTCCATTTAAAGTATTAATATTATATTTGTAGATTTTTGTTTAATATACTCTTCAAAGTTTGTTGACAGTAATTAATGCTAGATGCACATATATCCCTTCCCATAGACTATGTCAGCTTATGTTTTAAAAGATTCTTATTTTCAAGACAAATAGGTAATTATGAAAAATTTAATTTACTTAGAAAAGTCATTATTTAAAACAAACATTGATATTCACAATCCCTAAATGGTAGCTTTAGAACATGCACGAAATTTTGTTTCCCTAGTATTATAAGGGAATATAATTAAGTTTTCTGTGCTATTTCTTTTGAAAGTAGTAATCAAAAATATTTTTCTCAAAGAGGAAATACCAGCTTAATTAATATACAACAGTAATGTTATTCTGTTCTTCTACTACACATATTTTTGTAGGAAAATAATAAAAAGGAAAACTGCTACTTAGCAGTGAGTTCAGTTTAAACATATATATTACTTCCATATTTAATCATTATTTTATTTTTGTCTCACTAGATGATAGCACACAATGTTATATATATAAGGACAGTTTGGAATTTCGCTAAAAATAAATACATAAATAAAGAATTATCTAAATTAATATTCAATCTATCAAGCAGCTAAAGTTGTTGTACAATTAACAGATCTGTGTACATGTTATTCGTATCTCACTTTAACAACATCAGTTTCTTAATTACCAAAACAATACATTATATAGCTGTCTTCTTTCTTTTAAATCTCCATAGGG